TGAAGGTGAATTATTTCTTTGAAAATCTTCTTCTCTTCCCCTGGGTATTATTTAAACAAACTAAGTACATTGTTATGATACGCAAGGATGCCGCTTCCAGAATTGTGAATTTCATGGCCCCAGGATCAAGGGTTCTGGTGAAAAGGGGGGGGCTCTATTGATTATATAGTGAAAAAGCAAAATTTCTTTGAAAATATTCTTTTCTGCTTCTGGTTAAAAAGCAAAGAAGCTAAGTATAAAGTTATGATGAGCAAGAGTGCTTCTTCCAGAGTAGTGAATTGCATGACCCCTGGGTAAGATGTGCTGGTGTAAGGGTGGGGCTCTTGATAATATAGTGAAAATGCATTAATTCTATTAAATAATCCTGGTGGCTCCTTAGTGTTAAGCAGATAAACAAAGTGATTACTTATGATGAGCAAACTTCTGGTCCCAGGGTGAGTGGCTCTGGTTTTTCTCGGTGGGGAGGGGTGGGGGGTGGGGGCTCTATTGATGATATAGTGAATATGTAGTAAAAATGCATTATTTCTTTAAAAATCTTCTCTGCACCTGGGCATATCAGAGGCAAAAATAGTAAAAGTTTTAATAAGGAGAGATATTTTTACCAGATTTTTGAACATCTGGATCATTTGGTCAAGTGTTCTGGTCCTGGTCAGGGCTCTATTAACTTGTACTCTACTGAGAGGAGTTATTCCTCTTTGCCATTTACTTTTGATAATTTGATCACTGTAAATAATGTAGTTGAAAGGTTAATAGAATAAGAGAATTATGCAAGAATTTTTATTGTATAATACAAAAAGTACTTTCATAGTTTTAATGACCAGGTAGACTTGTAAGTAATAGATAAATAAAAATGAGACAAAAATAACTTGTCTTATTAAATGTTCATCAAATACCAAGAGAGGCCAATGTAAGAGATTTCAACAAGGAATTAAAATAGTACAGAAGCATTGATAGTTTGTTAATATACTGTATGGTGAGAGTGATAAATGGGGACAAATTAGAACCTAATTTAAGAACTGTTAATGAATATTAGACTAATTATTGTGTTGATCCTGATCAACCTATTTTTCTTGCTTTTGGGCAACAAAGCTTCACCTTTCAGTTCATTTTATACTCTATGGATCCTCTAAATTGTTGTATTATACTCAGGTGACCGTTAAGGCCCTTGGGCCTCTTGTTAAAAAAAAGTCATCCTCAAAATTGGCGTAAAAATGTACATTTTTTGGTTACCAAAAACATGGAGCAAAGACCCACTATACCTTGAAAATACACTTATGACACAACATTCGCATCTTTCCAAGAAATACTTGAAGTCCATTTAGTCAAGGGTCATATCACAAAGATGATTTAAGTAGCGTAATGGTTAGCGTGTAAGTGTCAAGGGAAAATGATACTCAGGATTTTTATTGCTAGCGTTCGAACCCCACGAATACCACATTATTTTTTGAAATCAGAAAAGAATATCCTCAGAAAATTTTGTTAACTAGTATTATAATTTCATAAATTTCAATAATGAGAACTTTACTCTATATACTGAATTCACAAATTGAATATGATTTTTATATATCTGAAGCTATAGGCATTCTGCACGCCTTGTTCACCCATCTCCTTTGGACACATTATTATAAACAAAAATTTCTAGACGAAATTATTTCAAACCATTCGAAGTTTTTGTTTTGTTTTGTTTGTTTGTTTTGTTTGTTTGTTTTGTTTTGTTTTTTTTTTTTTCATCAACATTTTACAATGTTGGCGAGCAATCAGATTTGACAAAATTTGGACCAAAAACAGAACCAATAATGAAACACACACCAACGATTATTACATTTTTTCGGTTATCTAACTATATGTTGAACGAAAAACGTGACGAAGATAAAAGAGATTATATAACCACTGTAACCTCCATGATATTAAATTCCATTTCATAACAAAGTGCCCTTCGTATAATAAGTTAAGAAAAATAATTTTGAAAGAGTATCATTTTATTAAACCGAGTATTTTCAAATTAGCCGAATTATTAAGCACTGTAAATAATTGTTATAGATTTTTTTAATCTTGGGAAAATATTTGTATTTTTTCATTCATGTATTTTTACGTTCTGTATTTACATTAATAATATTTTGTGTTTACCATTCTGATAAGCCAGTTGGCTTAAATTAGAGAGAAAAAAGAAACTGTATCTATATACAAAAGGCTATAACAACTATTTTAACACTTCCCAAACAACCCAGTAGAAAGCATAACTTTTGCAAAAACAACACACCAACATAAATTATTTTCATATCCATTCGTATCTGAAAGATTACAATGACCTGTATACTTTGCTTTTTTCCCCATCATAAGTACGCCGAGGAGTAATATTTTTGGGGAATTCTAATGGATTTTTACGATGTTGACTTTTAATGGGACCCTTTCCTCTGTCAGTCCAAAGTTATGACCAAGGTTAAAAGTTTTTTTTTAAGATGGAAAGACAAGACAGTTACAATAAAGCATTGTATCCAAACCAGTAAGTCCCAAAAGCGGGGGACCACAATTCATTCATAGTGTTACAAATAATTTCACCAAAAAGGGAAAAAAGCAAAATATGCAGGTCATACATGTTGTATAAAGATACAATTTCTTTTTTCCCTCTAATTTAAGACAACTGGCCTTATCAAAATGGCAAATACAAAATATTATTAATGTAAATACAGAACGTAAAAATACTTGAACGAATAGACAACAAATATTTTTCCAAGATTAAAAAGTCTTTAACAGTTATTTACAATGCTTAATAATTCGGTTGATTTGAATTCTGGTGTTTGGTCATAAAAATAGTAACCAATCAAATAGTTTATACTATTTTTTGTACCTTTATGCTAAATTTGACTACGGAAAACTCTGTCTACCCGATCAATACATACAGCTCACGGCGGGTGTGACCGGTCGACAGGGGATGCTTACTTCTTCCAGGCACCTGATCCCACCTATTCGTTTTGTATATAGTGGATTAATGAGATTGATCAATCTTCGTTATCTTCACCTTTTACATTTATCTCAAAGATGACCAAATGTAACAAAGAGGATGTCCAGATGACATTCGATGTTTCCAATTCTAATATACAGTCTAATAGTTATAGACTAAACTGATACTGGGACCTGCCGGACCTATGGGAGACGAATTTGGTCAAGAGTTCTTTGCTCAAATTAATATACTATACACTGAGTACATACACCATTAACCATAACATTGCTGTGTTTTCATAAAATCATATCATGGACAATTATGGGACAGAAAACGTAAACATTTACTCTAGATAACCATTTAAAATGCTTAAAATAAGTCAAAATGATACAATTTGTTACTAAGTAATGAAATTATTCCTTATTCTACAGGATTCATAAAACTTTCCTTTTAACCAAGATGTCCTTATAACTGCGTTCTCCACAGCCAAGTTTTACTGTATAACAAGACTACAGTAATTCATAAAACTTTTTCCTTATAACCGCGTTCTCCATAGCCAAGTTTTACTGTATAACAAGACTACAGTAATTCATAAAATTTTTCTTTTAACCAAGATGTCCTTACATGTATAACCGCCTTCTCCATAGCCAAGTTTTACTGTATAACAAGACTAAAGTCATTCATAAAACTTTCCTTTTAACCAAGATGTCCTTATAACCGCCTTCTCCATAGCCAAGTTTTACTGTATAACAAGACTACAGTAACTCATAAAACTTTCTTTTAACAAAGATTTCCTTATAACCCAGTTCTCCGTAACCAGATTTTACATAAAACAATACTACAGTAAAACACGCTTAGAGTGAACACCTTATGATGAATCTCTGCTTTCAGCGAGGTGATTTTCATTCCCTGTAGTTTTTTTAACATTTTATTAACTCACCAGATGTAAAGAATTACATTTATAATAAATCAAAAATTTTCATTCCTAGCACTTCACTATAACCGCGTTTTATTGTACCCTTAACTCGAAGACACTGAAGGACTCCACTTACTTGTGTAAGTACTGTATATTGTTAATAAAGATTTAATATCTTAATTGTTCTCAAATGAGTTCATAATATTTTAAATAGCTATACTTGACATTACAATTGCAAGAGGAGGACTGGGTGCTCATGGCCATTTTTAGACTATTTAAGCCTCTTGGAAAAGAAGAGCTCTCTAAAATATAGGAAATATTGTAGCTGGAACTGTTGGGTTTTTTTCTTTATTAAATAATAGTTTATGATTAGAAAAATCATATTTCATATTTTTAAGTAGAAATGTTATGTAATGTGCTGATTGTCAAACCTCCTATTGTCAATATATGGAAAGGAATAGGAGTCTCTTAAAATTTTTTTTTTGGTGAGAAAATTATCTAATAGAAAGGTTTACTCACTGAGTTTATCTATTTTATCTATTTTTTTTTTTAACTTAAAGTACCTGCCATATTTCTCCATGAAAAAAATGTTCAAACTTGAAGTAATCATTTTAGCTTACTAACTTCACATTTAATGCAAATAAGGTATTCAATTACTTTATACTGGTCTATTATAATATTAGGAATACTCTATTACAAATCGTGTCATTAATATTTCAATGTAGATTTCCATTTACTGGTATTCTCTACATCTAAAGGCAGATAACTCTAACAGTATACATCTACCAAGAATCTGAACTCTTCAGTATGAAGTGTTTAAAGCATCCTTAAGAACTTGTTTCTCAATCCATTTGAAAGTTCATAAAAACATGTTCACACCAACCATCTCTTTGACTATTGATGGGGATGAAAAGTTTGTTGTGTAGTTTATATGGAGAACTTTTGTTACTAACAAATATTATCCAATAAACCAAAATACCATCTCCTTACATATGGTAAGATTAATGCTCTACACAGAAAAAAATCAACAAATTCACATAATTAAGAGACATTTCAATGAGTATTTTACTAACTGTAACGACACACTACCCTCCCTCAAAAACTACTAATGCATGTATTCCAAATACAATAAACATGGTAAAGTTAGCTTAATAAATATGTTTTATTCAAGAAATTCATAAAAAAAAAATCATGGATAGAAGTTCAAAGATTTCACCAGAATTCACATATATATTGTTTCTTCTAGTGCTACTCATATATCACGTAGGAATGATTGAGGTTGAAATAATCTATAGTTAAAACAACACCGCTAATTTAGAATCTTGCCAGCCTTGCACTAAAAAATGTCTCTACACACAACAAAATTCTAAATTAGGAAATATCATGCTACATTACAATGTCTTGTGTCATTGTTCTAGTAGACAAATAAACAAAACGGTATATGTCTACATGGTGCAGCTATTCTCAGCAATAAAATTTAAAAAGTTTCTCCAAGTGGATTAGAGTCGTTAAAACTGCCCTGGATCGTTGCTTTGAACACAGTCTCTAATGAAAAGTGGTCATCACTGTCATGTACCAATATCAGTACATTTAGCCATAGAATATTGTTTTTTTTTTTGTCTCATGCAGTAATTCCTCACAATGGATATTCTCTCTCAAGGATATATTTGTGTCCACATCAAGTTTGTGAGCTGATTTTTTCATATTAACATGCAGCATTAACCCAGACTGGTAGCCAAAATAATTGCAATGATAGCAAGTAATACAACAACACAAACGATGATCATGATTAATTTCTGAAAAGAAAAAAAGAAACAAAATTAAAACAAAGTGCTGAAAGCACACACTTCAAATAAATTATTTATAAAACTTTAATGCTAAACTCTTTGATACTAGTAAGTGCCTGACAGATTATGTGTATGTGAATCCTAAAATGTGACTGAGTTATACCAAGGTTTATGTCAACAGGTAATAGGTCCATACTATTCACTGGGCCTCCAAGAATAGTCAAACTCCTACTTTCCAAGTCTTTTACTGATTACTGGAATCTAAGGTTAACTTAGTAATTCCCTCCTACTTACATGCACAGAGAGAGAACAACCTTCTACTCACTTAAATGGAATTGTGACAATTTTTTGGCAGAAAGTTAAGATATAAATGAAAGTCAAGATTTGAAGAAAAAAAATTGAAGACTAAAATTTTACAATGGAAACACTGTGATTTATCATTTAAGAGTTATCTCTCTTATCTTAGCAGAGGGACATCCTCCTTAAGCAATGGTAGAACTGTTTACTATGGTCACATTGCTAGATTCTTCCTGAAGCTCATGGCAAGGCATGTGTTTTGTGTCCATTCTATTTCCACAAACCTGTGGCTGTCTACTATAAAATTCTCTTGTTCTCATAAATATTAGTGTGATACACATTCAACCAATGTAATAAGGTTCTGAAGCTACAAGTCAGAAACCTTTTGTCCAATGAAAATGAGTGGTCTATGTGATAGTTGGATGTAACCATAACCACGAGCAAGCAACTCCTTGTTTAAACGAGTTACGCTATTCAGCGTATTCAAACAACATCTGCATTCAAAACCCAGTCTTTTAATGTTAGCTTTGTAAGTACTTTAGAATATAGCTTACTCGCCTCTTTTCTTCAGGATCTATCGTATTTTATCAATAAATCTGCCATGCAGAGCATGGGCGCCGCCATGTAAATGTACTTAAAATTGTTACAGAGTGATTTCATCTGTCAAAATAAATCTGGCGTCGGTTAATAAATATTCACCGATTCATTTGTGAGAATGAAAAAATTTTGTAGTAGGCAGCCACAAGTTTGTGAAAATAGAATGGACAAAAAAGCAGTGGCTTGAGACGATGCCTTAAGCTATGGTAGAACTGTTTACTACAGTCACAAGTCTGCATCCCTCCTTAAGCTACGAAAGAAATATTTACTAAGGTCACAATTCAAGATTCTTCCTTAACCTAGGGTAGAACTCTTTACCATAAACTCTGTTCTACATTTTTACATGAGTTCTAGGTATTGAGCAGCATTTCAAATATCCCTATATTTCAGAAACCCTACGATTGATCACATAGGAATTCCCATATCTCAAGCAGAAGATCTATAATAGAAGAAAAAAGTTAACCTTTTTAGCATGATTCATTAAAATTAAATGACACTAAAATTTTGATCCTGAGTGGAACAAAAAAAAAAAGCGCTTAGCATGAACTTAAAATTGGTTTTAAAATACTTTTTATTTCACACACAAAGTAAGAGGGGGGCAGGGGGAGGGGGAGGAAATAAGGTCTCAGAAAGGAGTATATCTCAGCAGTCACTCTATGTATCAACAACATATTAAATTTAAAGCAAAACAAAGCCATAAAATAAGAATGTGATGACTTATAAGAACTAAGTTGTGAAGACATGATCATTACTGGTGACTGTGGCTCCCCTAATATACCCCCCATACTTACCCGCCTAGCTTTACTCTGATACTTGACAGCTTTTTTCGTATCACTTTTTGCCGTTTCTATATAATCCACAGCTTGTTCTACATTATATTCTATACGATCTATCATCTCTCCCTGTTAATACACAAAAAAAAAAAATAAATAAATAAATACAAATATTTTTTTTTCTTACAACCAAAATATGTTTGAAAAAGCTCAATATTAAATAAAATGAATATTACCAATACTTATAAAAGTGAATATTCAAATAATTCTTTTGTAAATAGCAGAAGATCCACTCAAGATTTGTTTTCATCTTTAATGTTGTGATAAAAACTAATCTTGTGCATAACCCTGGATCACGCCAATGTGGCAAAATTCCTATCTGACCTTGATTGCACATTTGAACTGTTCAATGATTAAGTGTGCAAGGGCCTGAAGTTAGAGATTATATTAACTAAGTATCCTTTCAGTGTTTCCAATTCACACACAAAGTGAAGCAGTTCCTAAATCTGCTATGTTAAGGTATCCGATCCATAATAGTCTCAGATTCAATGAATCTGAATGCATAACAGATATATATTGGCTGAATACTCAGTATATGTAGACATAATCTTCATGTTTTAGTATCAATATATAAGAGCGGAATGTGTCCTAATTTGTGACCTTGTCCTGTCCTTGTTGAGTTATCCCCCTTTGCTTTTAATCAATAAAAATCAATTCTAAAATAATCTATCTGGTAAAAAATTAGTTTTCAATTGTTTTTCTATTCCTAATAATTAAATACATCTTTTCACCAAAGCATTTTTTTTTTGATATTCTTAGTATTTAAATTTTTATTTTCAAAAATTTGCTTGTCCCCATAGACCTCAATGCATTCTTCATGAATTAATTACTGCTTAGGTAATTATATTTTTGAAAATTTCTCCTGGTAAATCCTTTTCTACTCTAAAATTCTTCGAATTAATTTCCGAGTATTTAATACAGGATGGATATTTAAGGTTAGAAAATTATGTCCTTTTATGGATCGGATACCTTAAGGATAATACATACCTGCTGTTCTACTAACATGGCCATATCCATGAACATATCATGTAGCTCTCTTATACTATTTTCCAACTTAATAATGTCATTGTGTCTAGCTTCAATATCTGCTAGGGTTTGTTTTGCTGCTTGTGTTTCCATGATGATCTAAAAAGAAAAAAAAATTAAAAGAAATGGCCTTTTAACTTGAAAATTTTAAATAATACATGTGGTCATTTATAGGAATAAGAGTTATCTCTCTTATCAGAGGGCCAAAGAACCTTAATAAATTCAAGTAAGTGTCAACAAATAATTCTAATTCAGAGTTAACATATCAGTTAACGTAGAATTCTTAATATAAAGTAAACATTTCCACAGTGACAGTAAACTAGAATATGTTTGCAATGTTTTCCAATAATGTGACATTTAACAGAGCTAATCCTATTTTCATTTTATTTCTTTACAATTACCAGATATTTATAACTTTAGCTTACAGTTGTCTATAAATTTAGTTCACTTCACTATGGAAATTAGCACTGCATGAACCTACCCCTTGCGTAAATATTGCTGGATTTCCAGATTCTAACATATTTTCTAATTCATCATTGGTTGTTGTTCTTCCAGCTAAAAAAAGGAAAAAAAAATATATAGCATAAATCTTACACAAACTTGCTTTGTTCCAATTTAACCTGACTTTATACAATACCCAAGTGAAAATGAAAATTGCATTTTTCTTTACATTTTAATTGAGCTTTGAAAAAAAATCATTCTTGACAATTATTTTACATTTACCCAATAAGAGCTGAATATAATTTTATCATATATATTTTTTTGCAAGGATATACAGTTAAACTTTGTTATATCTAACATCGATGTCACAAATACCATGGTTGAAGTGAGTTGGAAATCACAATCACTTTTTTCTATGTGTATTTTAAACTCAATATCTTGGTCCCATTTAGTTTGAGATAATGAGATTTGACAGTAACTGAGATTGAGTAATTGACAATAATTGAGAAATTAAAACTTGAGTTATGTAAAATACAGTTTATTCCCATTCATATATTTATAATTTGTTTTTCATTGCAAATGCCACCCCCCATTCCCTCCCTTTCCCATCTAGTTCAATATGACCTTAATCTGACCTTCAACTTGCACTTACATAAACTCACTATCTTATGTAATGATAATTTAAAAAGTTAACAATCAAATCTAAAGTTGCTGTGGTGAGATATAAATATCCTTTGACATTGACATACAACTAATCTGTATTTGTTAACATGACTCTAAATGCTCCAATATTCTTTATCTTGTAAATTTCCAAAGATAAAGGCAAGGTTTGAAATGATATTGCAAAGTTCAATTGGACCTAAAATTTGGATTATTTGACCTAAGACTTCATTACTTGGCCTAGGCGTTCATTATTTGACCTAAGACTTGATTTTTGATTCTGACACTGTACATTCAGCTTTACCCATGATATTTCATTTACCCAAATATGAATACTGTATACAGGGAAATTTATGCCCCAATTTGTCCCCCCCCCCCTTTGCCCTTTTTAAAAGTGGGCTAATTTAAAATGGGGCGAATTCAAATAATTCAAAAAATAACTCTGTATAAAGTAGCCAAAGTTCAAAATAGCATCTGTACTTGGAAGGAAGGTGTGCATGTGTTGCAGTTACCCAGTGAGAAAGAAAACCTTACTGATTTCCAGTTGCCTCTGGATGCGACCTTTACACCTCTCCCTGTAGTCTATTTGACAAGCATTGTAGTCATTCATAACCTCCACAAATTTACGGGAAAGTGTCGCATGCTATAAAAATAGTTGTCAAAAAATTATTATGAAGTAAAAAACCCATTCCTCTTAAAAAAATAGTTCATCTTCCTTTCGAGAAAAGAAAATAAAAAAGAAATGAATGTATACTGTGCAGATCTCCCCCCATTCTTTCAATTTTTTTTTTAGTGAATGAAAACAAATCTCTACAATATACAGTGTAATTGCATTATAATAAATAATTCTAAATCTATTTTCATATCTGATGTTTTTTTTAAAAATATTTTAAATTGTCTATATTAAGCTTCTTGGTAAAATGTCCATTACATGTTCATAAATCAATGTAACATAAAACATGAAAGTTAATTCACATGCAGGATGACAAATTTAGAGCTTATCATTAATTCATGGTTAATTAGTCACATAAGATCTAAATACAATTAACCCCTCTGCTGCACAGTTTTGGTTAATGTAATATATAAATGGTTACATGACTGAAGGTTAAATCTATTTCATGTGCAGGTAGCATACCTTTTAATACAAGCTGATGTGGAGTGCACAAAACACTTGTTAATTAATAGGTGACCAAATCAAATTTAAGAGAACCCCAAAACCATGATTAATCTTCAACTTTATAAAAAGATTAAAAAAAAAAAATTCCTGCTACCCACCCTCTGACTTTGAAAAAAGAAACTCACCTGTGTTTTGCGTATCCTTAAATCTGCAGACGTTTTATTTGAGTGCTCCTCCTTTTCAATATTTTGTTCAATATCTGAAAAACAAACATCATAGAAGAAATAAGAATGCAACATTTATCCTTGTTGAAACAATTTCATTTCAATGCCAGTTATTATATGGGTAGGAGTATGTTTACTAAATATACTTTTGCCTAAAAATACACGATAATGTTAATATTTTTCTTAGAGTTATGTCCCTTGATAAAATTAGCCAAGTTTTAAATTTTTTCCTAGATAGACTGGGATTTAAGGAAAGACACTCGGACAAAATATCCCCGGACCCTCTACCTTTTAACCTAGCCCTGACTTTGTTTGCAGTTTTCTTGATATCTGTCATCAACTCCTCCAGTTCTTCTTTTGTTTCTGGAAAAAAATGATCATCATCATTTAATAGGACCAGACTATTAAAATAAACTTGACCTTCTGTCATAAATTTTGTTTACAATGCAATGAAAGCATTTTCAGGTTCTTAATATATAAAGCATTTTTATAATCATAATCCATAAAGCATTCTAATGATCTTAATACATAAGTTCATTTTACTTGAAGTAAACAGATTCTCGAAAACTCAAATGTTAGTGGAGTTTCCTACATTCATTTATGTACTGTAATATAGTCGTCATATACGAGGGTTGTTAGAAAAGTTCGTTGACATTGATTTACGGAAAATACATTGTGTACTTTGAAGAATGACGTATGTCTGATTAAATTCTTATCTTGTTTATTAGTATACAAGTAAACCAGAAGTCTCTGATGAGACTGTAGCTCTACTGGTTGTATTTATAAAGAAAGATAAAAGTAGCACTTGGACTTGAAACTTTGCAACAGCAATAAATAGAATAATGATCCTTGGTTTAGTCTCTTTTTGTGGCAAGATTTATTGCAATCAGACTGTAGGAGGAGTAGCCTTTTAAAACAATTTTACAGAAATTTTTATTTAAGTAACCATGGCAACATCATTCAACAAAATCAACAAGAGGCCCATGGGCCACAACGCTCACCTGAGTAACCTTGGCCATGTTGTTTTTTACCAGATTTCCCCCTTGTAATACCTATTGTGGCCCCGCCCTACCCCTGGGGATCATGATTTGAACAATTTAGATTGTACACTACTTGAGGATGCTTCCACGTGAATTCCAGTTTTTTTTCTGGCCCAGTTGTTCTTAAGAAGAAGATTTTAAAAGATTTACTTACATATTTCAATGTAAAACTTGGATTCCCTATTGTGGCCCCGCCCTACCCCCGGGGGTCATGATTTGAACAATTTAGAATCTACACTACCCAAGGATGCTTCCATATAAGTTTCAGTTTTTTCTGGCCCAGTTGTTCTTAAGAAGAAGATTTTAAAAGATTTTTCTTACATATTTCAATGTAAAACTTGGATTCCCTATTGTGGCTCCGCCCTACCCCCGGGGGTCATGATTTGAACAATTTAGAATCTACACTACGCAAGGATGCTTCCATATAAGTTTCAGCTTTTCTGACCCCGTGTTTCTTGAGAAGAAGATTTTTAAAGATTTTCTAATATATTTCAATGTAACACTTGAATTCCCTTTTGTGACCCCTCCCAACCCCCAGGGGTCATGATTTGAACAATTTGGAATCTACACTACCCAAGGATGCTTCCACATAGATTTCAGCTTTTCTGGCCCAGTGGTTCTTGAGAAGAAGATTTTTAAAGATTTATCCTATATATTTCAATGT